CTCAATTCTCACCTAATCAAGATGTTATTAAAACAGCTGATGATTTACAGGGAACAGGGGTGAAATTGTAATGGTTTTGTAAACAGCTGCTGGAAAGACAACTTGATGGAGCTTTCGTGATGTATGACCGCCTCCCATTTTAGAGTGTGTGCTTGCATGTGATATAAAGTCAACTTCTCTGATTTCTAAATTCCTTGGACATCATAGTCTATCTTTACTGAGACTGAAATCTTAAAGAACCAGGCCCATTCAATGAACAAATATTTATTACATTTTTCCTATGTGCCAGACAACTTTTCTAGGTACCAAGGATATTGCAGTGACAGAAACAGCCTAAAACCTTTCTGGAGCATCTGCTTTTCAAACTTTTTGTCATAGAAAAAAAATCAAATTCACACAGAAGAAGGAAAATAGTAGCCCCATTATTATTCAACTTTAATAATGATCAATATTTTGTCATTCTCTGTTCATCAATCCCTCCCAACACACACTTTTTTTAATGAAGCATTTTAAAGTGAATCTTAGATATTAAACATTGTATCATAAATACTTTAGTATGAATCTCTAACAGATAAGGCTGTTTAATAAAAACAAAATAACATTATCACACCTGACAAAATCAACAAAACTTCTTAATATCATTTAATATCCAATTTGGATTAAATTTCCTCCCATTGTCTCAAGAGGTTTTTTTTTTTTTTAATTTTTTATGTTTCTTTGTTTGAATCCGGATGCAAACAAGATCTGCATATTATAGATTGTGGAGATAGCACTTATGTCTCTTTTGATCTAGACCCGTTCCCCTTAGCTGTTTTTTTGGAATTGGGTTATCTGCCCCGCAGAAGTCCCCACATTTTGGATTTGGCCCATTGTGTCCTCCTGGCGTGTTTATGATACTCTTTGATGCCTCGCATTTTCTATAAAATGATAGTTGTATCTAGAGGCTTGATAAGAGTCAGCTTCAGTTGGGGGCAGTGGGGAAGCAGCACACGTTGGAACTCACATCCTAGTGGAAGCTGGCCTGCTGCTGCTTTTGTGTGCCAGAGATGTTTCTGGAGGTGTCTTGGTGGCCAAAAATTTGGGTGGCCAGTATGAAAAACTTAGCTCTTCTACAACAGCGGCAGTTTTGATTTTAATACCATGAAACATTCCCTTTGTTTCTTCTTCCTTTATGTTGGCCACTAATGAAGACTCCTAAAAGTGGTTGTGTCACGTGGTATGTGGGTGTGGTGCTGCCTGGAGTGCCCCACACAGGGACAAGGGGGTTTTGAAAAAGTCATTTGTTAGTGTCCTCTCGGGAAGCAATCTAACAAAAGAGAATAAATTTATAGAATGGCATGAATCGAAGTGAGATCAGTTGAATTAGAATATTTGAGAGGGTCTTTAGGGTTTGCATATTTTGTGAAAGACATCTAGGTGATTTGAATGTGCAACCAGGGTGAGAAGCTCAGATTCAGATAATGAGGCTTGTGGTCTGTTGCCTCAGGCAGTCCCACTTGGAGTCCTGAGAAAGATAAGGAGATAGATCAGCGGAAGGCAAGCCCAAGTAGCAGGAAGTTCCTGGGGTCTCTGGGTGGCTATTGATTTGTAAGGAATTCAGTGGTATTGAAGAATTTCTCATCAATAAATTATGTAATAAACTTTTTAAAAAGAAGAATGAGGAAGGGGAATTTGGTTTAGGGAATCCAGAAATATGAAGGAAATAAAGGATGACTTTATGAGCAAATAGCAAGAGTAGAGTTGCCACTTACTGACATGGGAAGGTTATGGGGAAGGGTTCTATTTTGGACACGTTATATTTGAGATGCCTAATATATGCTCTAGATTAGATGTTGAGTAGGCAGTTGGATATATGTCTGAAGTTCAGGGCTGAAGGTAGAAATTTTTGAATCATGAAAATAGAGATGATATTTAAAGCTATGAACTGGATGAGATCACCTAGCCAATGAGAAATTGGCTTCCTGGAAGCCACATGAGGAAGACACCTACAGGACCATTGCAAGGGTTTCTCTGAGACAGAGCTGTGAAGGTGGTGGCTGAGTTATAAAGCAGGTTGATAAGTTTTTCACTGAATGCTACCAGATTGCTCTACAGAGTATATTTAGCAGTTTAAATTCCCACTAGCTGTGCATGAGGATTCCCACTTTCCCATATCTTTGCCAGTATTGGAGATGATCTTTCTGACTTTTGCCAGGCTGATGGGTAAAGCAATGGTGTGTTGGAGTTGGTCCATGAAGTTGACTGAGCACATTTCTTCCCAACTCCTTGTCCAGTGACCTCACACTGGTAGATGGAAATCAGCAGGGGTGAGAGTATCTGTACCATGGAAATCAGCAAACACTACAAATTAGGACTCACCCCCAACCCCCAGCTGTTTTTGAAATTTGTATGTAGTGGCTGTAGGCAGTATCACCCTGTCTGTCCATCCATTGTCTCATTACTAGTGAGTTTGAGCATCTCTTCTCTGTGTGCTTGCTGTTCTGGCTTTCCCTTCTGTGAAACTCCTATTCCTGTCTCTTTCTCATTTTTATCTTCAATTTTCTAACTTCTTTTTGTTGATTTGTAGAAGTTACTTATCTATTTTAGATATGAATCACTAGCAGCTTTTGAATATCTATCTCCCTTCAATTTGTCCACCATCTGTTTGCTTTCTCCATGGTACTTTTCATTGAAGAGAAATCTTCATTGCAATGCAGTCAAATCTCCTAGTCTTTTGTTTTCAGGTTGTGCTTTGGCAGTCTAGTTTTATGAAGTAAATCCCTACCCTACATTCATAAAATTTTCTCTTACGTTTTCCTTTCAAATATAGGTCTTTAATCAATCTGGAGTTCACCCTGAATATGGTAGAGATAGGGCATCCAAGTCTATTTTTTCCCTCAAAAAACTAAGCTGATTTCCCCAAAACCAGCCTCTAAATAATTTATATTTTTCTCATTGATTTGCAGCCCCACATGAACATATATCGAGGTCCCATGGATCGACTTCTGAGCGTCCTATTCTGTGTGGTCGCTCTGTTTGTTCCTGTACCAGTAGCATGCTATTTTTATCACTAGGTAGTGATGGCACAGTATTTGGCAGGGCAGGTTTCCTCTCTCTGCTCTTGCTTTCCAAAATTAACATACCTATTTAAATGTTTATTTTTCCCTATGTATTTTGTAACTTTATTGAAGTTCCTTACATTTTGAGTTCCTGCTGGAATTTGGGTTGGTATAACATTGAATTTAGCAATTAAATGGACATTTTTCCAGTGTAAGGTCATTCTATCCATAGTATATCTTCATTTATTCAATCTCCTTTTATGTCCATAAACAGAGATTTGAAATTTTCTCCATAAAGTTCTTGCAAGTTATTAGGTTAATTCTTGAATTTTATGCTTTAGAATTTCATTGATATTGTGAATGGTCCCTTACTGTCTATTGTATTTCCTGGTAGCTTACTGCTGATGTAGAGGGAACATTTGATTTTTAGAAACTGATCCTGTATTTGGAAACTTTATACTTACATATAACTCCTAATAGTTGATTCTGTTGGGTTTTTTATATTGATGATCATATTATCCACAAACATGACAGAAAGATTTCAGGGTTTCTACCTAGTACTCTGATATTCTGCATTTAACTACCTCTGCTAACTGGGCTCCAGTTTGGCACCCCAATTCTAACAGCTGGATGTCTCTTGTGGTCCTAATGCCCTGCACACTCATATTCTGGAAATGAGCCTTTGTCTTCCTCCCCTGTCAATCCTGTCTTGCCCAATTCTCTGTCCAAGAAGAACAGTAACACTGTCTTCTTTTGGTTATTTCCTCTAACCCTTTTCTCAAGGATTAGGGCCTGTAAGCCACTGACAGCCCTTGCTGATGCTGACTTTAGAACTGTCTATCCAAATTTCTCAATGATCCCTGCTACTCAACGCAACAGTTCTGTATCCTGAATGCCCCAAAGGACACCCTGTGTAGATAATGCAAAATAGTGGATCAACATAGGCCTTCAAAACAGACAGGCTTGTGTTTGAATTTTATTTCTGTCCCAGGGGACATTGAGCAAGGTCCCCGGCCTCCTGGAGTCTGTTTCTTCACTGGTATAGTGAAGACAAGACCACAGAGGTAGGAATCACAGAGTGGTGAGCTAGTAATGCCCCCTTCTCCACATTGATGCTGACCACTGATACTGATCCCCTCCCAGGACTGGTTTACTGCTGCATTTCCCAGGCACCATGTTATGCCTTCAGATATACCTCAGTCTCAGCAGCTGCAGCTGGACCATTTCCCCATGTGCGTGCCCACCCCAGTGAATCATTCAAGTTCCAAGTTCTGGCCCCATTTCATCGCCCAGTCCAACTCTTGTATGCACATGGGGGTGTTCCAAGAAGCATGAAAAGAGTGCTTGTATTCTTGATAATGGTCTAGGGAGTAGCTTCAGTTTTTTGAATAAAGGCAACCAGGTGAGTGGGAGACTCTCTCACGGCTTAGTTATCCTGGAAATTCGCCAATGTACTGTATGGTGTTTAGGTACAGCAGATAAAGCCAGTGGCCTGGATGGTTTTAACAGAGACTTTATTACAGTGAAGAACAACTCAGCTAGCCACACCCTGTCATCTACCAATAGTGGCATCTCAGAGGGATAATTTAAACCAGCAATAAAAGTGAACTGTGTATGTGGGAAGTTTGCCAATAGCAACTTCTGTTACGTATAGATCTTTATGAGTGTCTGTTGCTCACTAACAATAGGGCTTATTTACAGTTGCTTAAAGCCAACAAAGGGCAGATTACCTTCCTTCTTTTAACCAGTTAAAGCAGTGGGTGGGGAGGGGGTCAGACAAGAACAGGGTGTGATGAGAGCAGGGAGAAGGGAGGTGGGACTTCCACAGGGAGGAGGAAACATCTGTGTCACGTTATCATCCCCAAGAATGCATGAAGGGACAGAGAAACTGGCAGCTGACTGGGGACTGTGGGATGGTCATGGTGTTTAAATATTGCATAAGTGCTATGAGTTTCAGTTGACAGGATGCTCCACCCGATTCAACAATGTGACATGACTGTTGCAAATGAGTATTTTGATATTTTGAGCTATGCTAACAGACTCATAGGACTGAGAAAGAGGTGGCTGTCTCTCTCCTTTCTACACTCAACAGGACACCTCACTCATTCCTGAGCATCACATTTAAGAGAACTCTAGACAAGCTGAGATGCATCGTAGAGAGTCCCTTAAAATTCTGGTGAGTAGGATCTTAACCATGTCGTATAAGGAGAAGCCTAAAGGATTGAGAATGCTTGTCCTGGATTCCTTGGAGTTGGACATGATCTGGAAGACCCCAGAGTAGAAACAACCCAGTAAGGAGGAGAGGTAGGGGGTGGTGTTTTAGCTCTCAAGGTAGGAAGAACTTTTCAACAAGGGTGGTCAAAGACAAAATGGCTGCTTCCAAAGGAAGTAGTTCCTGGTTACTGAAGGTGCTCAACTATGGCCACTTGGTGGGAGGATATTCTAAGGGGGACTCAAACAACCAGAGGGGGTCCTTTTCTAGAGCCTGGAATCAATGATTCTAACAGGAAAAGATGCTCTGGAGTGCCCTGAGCACTAACCTCTGCTTTTGAGGAGTCTAAAGACATTCATTCATTCGTTCATTCATTCATTCGACATTTGTTATTGCTAGGCACTGTGCTTGGTGAACATGGAAGTACAGTGGAGTAGTTGGCATATCAGAGCCAGAACAGAAAGGCCCCAGAGACAGCTGTTAGAAGGTAACACTACTGGCTCAGTGTTACAAACTTCTGTCGTGGGGAAACAA